CGAAAATATGGCCTATTCTTCGCCGTTCTTAAGCGTCCGGTTCGCCTTGTTCTTGACTTCAGCTATGGTAGCATTGATGGTGTCTATGCAGCTCGTGTAAGATGGCTCCTGTTCTTCTTGGGAATCTCTGGCTGCGAGATCTCTATCTCGAGCCTCGCGACTAGGGACCGGGCGTGCTTGAGTACCCTCGAAGTCGTCTTCATCGTCGGAATACGACGCCCAAGACCTCGCTGGACTTACTGAAGCATTGACCTCGGCTGATGTCAAAATTAAGGGAGCGCTTAATGATGCAGCTGGAGCGGTGCGGGAGGCGCCCCGGCGAAGTTCTTCTTGCGGCGAGGACGAGGATTGAGTCAATCCAGCTCTCAGAAATAACGTTCCTAAGATCCCGCCGAGACTTGGAAAAATGTTCCTAACGAGCGATTATAATGGGGAAATCCCGAAAATGGGCCGAAAATATGTTCCTAACCGTTTTGAAAGTCCAAAATTCGTTCCCTCCGGGAACATTTCAAGTTCCTCGATGACTCCCTGGTCTGGGAGCCTGCGACAGTCCATCCATTCCACTTTGCCTGCGGGCCCGACTTCAGCCGCTCCGCATCCTACGTTCGCATGAATGGCTAACCGGCCTCCTCTTGGTCTTCCCCCAGCCGCCTCCGTCCTGCTTCCGTCCGTGTAGAACTGCCTGGTCTTCCTGACTGCCTCTGGGTTGCCCTCCCGGTCAATGTCAAGGACAGTTCCTGTCAGTCCCGGCTGTACGCTATCTGGTTGCTGACCCTCAAGTACCTCCCCCACATATGGCCTGAGACGCTTAGTGTCCTTCTTCGAGAAGCCCCATCCATTTGTATATAGGGCACTCTTCACTACTCTTCTGACGATTGATTGGTCAATCCTGTCCCATGTCGTAACCCGTCCGATAAGGACTCCAGGAGCCAATTAAAGTGCTAAGCCTTTCCGGGTTCCAAATCCACGGCGACAAATCCAGGTTCCACATCCAAGGGTCGGTTTCCCACCCATGCTCCATTAAAGTGATGCTACTCGGAAAGGTCGACTTTCTGGGCAAATTTTCCAAGACTCTTTCCCGGGCGACGTTTATCGAATTAAAGTAGCAATGTGGAAAATGAACCCCAGCTTGGAAAAAGTTCGGTCCTTGGAAAACGCAACACCGCGCACGCTGCGCGCGGCATGCCTGAAACTCACACAATGTACTTATACTCGAGTAATAACATCTGACTACTAACTAATCAGAGGATACATCTACTGCTCGGAGTTCTCGGATGAGGAGCCGAGACCATCATCATCATCATCGTCATCATCTATATCGATGTCGGAATCCGGCTCCTCTTCTCTTTCGATGTTGTTGGCAATGAAGAAGTTGCGCAAGGCTACACAAGCTCTAATGGCGTTACTAGTGAGCACCATCGAGGTCTCTCCTGTTAGCCTCGGCCCCCTGATGCGCAAGTCCTTCAGGCACCTGAGTTGGCTTTTCAAGACCCCTATGCATCGCTCAACGACACTCCTCGTTCGTCGATGCCTCTCGTTGTACGCCCTCTCTTGAGCAGATAGAACTCGTCCACCAGCCTTAGACACAGGAGTTTTGAGGAAGTCGCTTGCTCGATATGCACTGTCGCCAAGTAACACAACGTCACGATTGTCCGGCCGCCATCCACTCTCCAACCTTCTACCAAGTGTCGAATTACGGAAAACTCGACTGTCGTGCACTCTCCCACCCCATCTTGTGGTGAGGGAACAGATCTCTAAAGAGCTAGTACAAACCACTTGGCAGTTGAGGGAATGAAAATGATGCCGATTGAGGTAGCTGTCTTCTCCCAACTGTGGAGGGTGGACCTTCACGTGAGTTCCGTCCACGCATCCCCAGACGTTGACCATCCCCGCGACAGCACGAAAACCATCTATTGAATCTTGTAGAGCTTGACCACTGGGAATAACGATATACCGAGGACAGAGGCGTTTGACCACCGCTTCTACGAAACGCCTCACGACCGTACATACTGTAGCCGCTGAGACCCCATGAGCATCGCCAACGGTCTGGTATAGCGAACCGCTTGCTAGAACCCGCAATCCAATTGCCACTTGTTGATGGATAGATAAAGCGAAACCGACTCTGCGTTGTTGGCCCTCACTGTGACAGAGTTCGGGCCCTAAATCATCACATAGCAACTGCAGCTGCGCAGGGCTCAGACGGAACCTTGCTTCGGCAAAACCTACTTGAGGCCCAGACATGTTGCACCGCGGTCTTACGAGGTAAGGACGTATGACTTGCTCGTCGGAGTCGGACGATGAGTTCGAAAATACTGTGGAGAAGCTCATAGCTCGGCAATATGGAAGAGAGAGCTACTTCTTTTTCATATGCATAGAGTGGTTCAACGTACGTCGAAGCACCCCCCCCCACTCTCAATCCCTTGATCCTCCAACTGTGCGCTCCCTGTACTCACCATGCCGTACGCCAAGGCCAAGCAGAGCGCTGTCGCAGCTAAGCGCGCGATTGCCGCGAAAGAGAGAATGCAGTTCTTGCAGCTCATTGAGGCCAACTACACTGAATTAGACGGGAAGTTTGATTCCGTGTACTCTACACGGACACGGTGTACACGGTGTACACCAAAGAGACTCGAGATGAATGTTGGAAGGCTATCGCTGCTACGATCATCGGTGATGGCCTTTCTACTTTGTGGGGACCCTTGAAAGAGTCTTTCAACGGCTTTCGGGAAGAGTTTTATTACTCATTGTTATGCCACAATATTATAGTATTTTTCAGGTTTTATGGTTCTGTGGTTCTGTGAGAACCGTTCTCAGTTTAATTTCCTTCAGTTCACACTTGTTAATGGTAGAACGTCAAGACCCCCGCGAATTCGACGCCATGCCATATTTCGACACGGAGATGCGTCAGATGCGAGTTCTTTACTCCAAGAAAATTACTCTTCAGACTGAAGACTTCAGTGTGACACCCAATGAAGCTGAGCCTCAACTGCTGAGATGCACAGGACGCCAATAAATTGTAAACTCGAACCATTTAACGTTTTGGGGACCAGTCAAATCTCGTCAAGGTAACAGAGGTAATGCATTTGTGTACGAATCCAACAGGTAAACTGCACATCTTGGATATATTTGCCATTTCACGGAATTTGACACATTTCCGGGTCACCCGGTACTTAGGGTACTAGCCTAGTACTACTAGTCTAATTATTAGACTCTAATACCCCAAGAAGTGGCTACAATTCAATTACTCCAGTACTAAGTACTACCAGTAGCAGTAACAACGTGTTTCTTGGAGAAGGCTGAAATCGATCAGTGTATCTAGGATGTTCAGCGAGCGTCGATAAGTGTTCAAATCATTTAAATTAAATGACAAGCTTCGAGCATTTGGCCTGTCTAGTCAATTGGTACAACGGGATGGCCACAATAGGAGTAATTAGTATCACTAATTACTCAGTGATCTAATATAGAAGCGAATCTGTGCGTCGTACTATTATTCGACTCATATACTCAAACTCAAACGGT